AGCTGGGCTTTGGCCATGCAGAATTCCCACAGATTTCAATGGGAATTTCAGTGTTCCAGTCTGGACTCCAAGAATGTGGTGCTGGACCCAGAGCTCTGACGGCTGGAGCCGTATTCAATATCAGTGTCTGGCAACACCCATTTGTAAAACAGTGACTCATTCACAGGCACAACTTTAGAGGGACAGACAGGATGACTTTAATCATTTCCATTTCGTTAACAAAGCTCAGTAAAACCAGATGAGCATCCTGGATGATAATAGTTGGTATTAATCTAATGATTGCAGTGATCCACTGCCACAGTTAGGAATAGTTTTATATCCTACAGAATGCATTGTTTTCATTTGCTTCCAGAACATAGCAACTAATGGACTCCTGAGGCTAAGGACAAAATTTTTAAACATTCATGAATTTATTTGGAATAGGTTTTTTTCTGAAAATCAGAGGTATGGGAATAAATTGCAGAAAGTAATTTGAAAGAGAACATCTTTAAAAGTACCGAAGTGACTCAGGAGCCTGAGACATCAGATAAATCAGCTGTCATTAGCACTTTCCATTCATTGTAAACAAGGGAGCAAGTTTTGTCTAATGGACTGTATAGGGAGGGACATTTAATTCAGGCAGCTATTAATGCAAGGTGCTCATTTGTGCACAGTCCTTTCCATGGACCAGTTGGGTTTAAATATACAGTTTTAAGTCTTTAACACTACCATACATCAATCCTCAGACCTGACAGAAAGCATCTGAAAGCAAATTGCTAAAGCTGGAATTTGGCACTGGATTTTTACTCAAGATTTCTTTTAAAATAATGTGCTGCCTTTAGGGCACCACTTTTCCAGACCACATCTGGCTGACCCTTCTAACATATTAAGGATGCAATTCCATGGTAGATTTGCAAAAAGATGCAATTCCATCTGAAAATGCTCCAAGATGCCCTGATAGAAGCTACCTCTGATCCTAAAGTCTTGTAACTGCAACCCTCTAATTCTGATCCCAAACTAATATACTCTTCCCAGCAGAACTTACCAGTTCAGGCTCAGACACATACTAATGATGGCTACTCAGATTCCCATTCCCAGGCAGCTTTTATCCAGCCAGCTTGGAGCATGGACAGAGTGATTTCATATCTGCCTGCCAAACCCTGAGTAGACATACCTTCAGTGACTCAAGCAGTTAAGAGTAGAAATTCAGGATTAATCTTGAGCAATATTCTCACAGCTCAGGAAAGGCTAACTTGGCTTGATAATTTGGAAAGCCTGCCAGAGTATGGTAGTTTCCTTTGCTTTCTGGATTGATATGACTATTCCTTACTTTGAGTATCAAAACTCTTCCTGGTTGACACTTTCCCAACTTCACAGTAAGTCTTGCTCCATTAAGACAGAGTGATCTCCTGCTCAAAAGCATGTGTTCCTTCAGGATTCGCCTCCTCAAGGAAATATAAAATCAACATGTGCTCTACCAAACTCCTTTGATTAATTTAATTTCCCATATTCTGTAGGGTTACAGGTCCCTAGGGAATACCAGCACCTCACAAAGTATTACTGAATGGATGAGACAGACATATTTTAATTCAGTGCTGTGGTCTGAAAAAACTCTGGTTAAGATCATAGCAATTAGGCAACACATGAGATTTCCTACAACAGCACCTATCTTAGAAATGAGATAAACATCAGATGCTTTGATAAAATTAAACTTTCCACAATTTACACAATTTCTATTGTTTTATCTTTCCATAGTAAAATGCATAAATAAGAGATAGAAACTGGATTGCTTCTGAATGTTGTCCACTTTCACCTACAGTCCCAGCCTACTGTGCAGTTCCACCATGTCTGTTCCAGCCATTTCCAGATCTCGGGCTACTTTTCATTCACCATTTTTATAGCAAAACACATAACAGTAAGTTTGTCCACCACCTCTCCCCATTGTATATCTAGGTTAATGCAATAAATTAAGTGGAAACTACTTGCTTGGAGATCTGCAGCACTTCTGATCTCAAATGGCATCTTAAAAGTAAGACAGAGAATTCATACAACCCACTTCTCCCTACCATTCCAAGCATTTTCTGCTTTCTTCTCATTTTTCTCCTCCACCATCATAACAGAACTTCATCACAGTTACATTCTATGACCGAAACAAAAAAACCAATTTAACATTTCAACCACAATGCATCTAATTTTGTTCTTTGATGACCCCAGTATGATTCATTTCCCAAGTAATCTTAGTAATCACATTTTTTTTAGTAGTATATTTGTCCAGACTCATTATTGTCCATACAAGTATCTGTAGTTCATTTATTATTTATATTTTTAACTCATAGGGATAATTTCTCCGGGCTTATACAACACTTCTAGTTGGGCAACACCAGCCTGTCAACACCTTCTTTTCCTTCTCACAGAAATTCTTCCATCATGACTGCAGCATCCGTACATATTCCAACTTTTGCATAACCTTGTCCACTGTTTCTAGTATTCACTTAAATTTGAGTTTTTCCTTTTCAATTTGCTTTAAACAGATTCCATAGCAGTTCATCCAATTCAGCAAAATCTTTCTTTAGGACTAGCAATGGTGTTAAGACATTGGGATTTTCATGCTTTGCTTGATGCATTTTCTCCTGCATCTCTTGATTTCAGTTAGTTTCTGCTAATACTTTCCTTCCAGCCCGGGCAGCAAGGTAGTGGCAGATCTTATTGCAGCAGCATAAAAGTATCACTTATTCAACCTTGTATTGTGACAATAAACTAACAGGTTTGCAAATTAAGATGTGTGAACTCTTTTTAAATACATTTTATACCTACAAATTCTTCACGTTCTCTGACAAAGCAGTCTAGGAGCCCTAATCTGAAAATGTGCAAGACCTATAATAACAAAACCCCTCAAACTGTTAATATCCTATAAATGTGTTTACAGGCTGAAGAAAAGAGAAATACTTCCTTCTTCTTTTAACATCCTATTTAGCTCTTTCCTTTCTCTTGCCTCAGTTAATACTAGACCTGTGGAGATGAAAGTATGATGTCTGTGACACTGATGTGTGGTGCAGGATGCAATACACACCTCCTGCATGTAAGCACGTCTTCCTCTATTGCACAGGCTGAGAAACCATCTAGACTATGTTTAGCAACAAAGGAACTTTCTTTTTTACTCAGCCCCTGGCTTAATAACAACAATGTCACTTAGCATTTGAGATCACAGTTCGTTGTTTGCAGTGCCTTGTTTATGTGCAGCACTATAAGGTGGGTAGCACACACTGCCTCTCACTTATTTTCATAAGCTGAAACTAATTAATGTTTCGCATGCCAGGGATAAGAGGACAGCTGGAAACCATCAAGGGGAAATGCAAGCAGTACATGAGCTGTTTCTTCAGTCAGCTGTTTCACTGCCCAAGGCACACACAGGCAGCTCACAACTTTGTCTCTCAGGTCCAGTCCTGCTTTGCTCTGTCACTCAGAAGTCAATACAAGTATCCCAACTTTGCAGTGGTATAACAGAGAACAGACTTGGGCCCAAATATCCTATTGGTACTTCAGACATTCTTTTTCTATCAAAACTTGATACTTAAAGCCTTCTGGTGACATGGACAATCAGGATAAATTAGCAATTAATACTACATAATTGCCTTAGACTATGCTCAGAAATCTCTTCCAACTCACAAATAAAAGTTCACATACTCAAGCCACAAGTCTCAGACTACATACTCCATCAATAGACATATCTTTGTCATATCTCCTGGAGGCCAAACACAGGGCTTGTCCTAACCATAAGGAATAGAAGCAGAGTTGAGGTTCACTGTAGATGCCATCGTACTGGTCTTCATTACTCAGGCCTGGGAACAGTTATGCAGAATGCTTCTGCTGATCTCAGTTTCTGGTTAGTTCTCCCTCACTTAACCCTGAACCTTTCACATACACATGAAGACAAACAGCCAAAGTTCTACATGCTAAGACTTAAGCAAACACATTTTGTGCCAGGTGGCATAGGCCAATAACCTGCAAAGGTCCACACCCACACAGAATTACACAATGGACCACACGTAATTTAGAGTATGCCATTTGCCTATCACTAAGAATTATCAAGCACCAGTCATTTCCAGAAACAGTTTGCTGGTCTCAACAGATCAGTTACACTGCATTTATTTTTGCTCTAAGCAATACCTTCTATGCCTGTCATTCATACCAATTTGGGAGTTCACTCAGACACATCACTAACCCTTTTCCAGGTCCTCAAGCTCAGTAACATTTAATTCACCAAGTGGAATTTTTCTGGCTCTTCTCTGCAATCCTAATTTCGACTTTTATCCTGATGAGCTGCCAGAGACAGAGTCTACTCCACAGGGATCCCAAATGCTACAGCCCACTGCAGCCCAACACTGCATGACAGCAAATATTTTGAAAGAAAGAAAGGACTCCATAAAACATCACTAGAGCTCTAACATTCCAAAATATGAATTCATACGTCAGTTGTAACATGTTCAAGCCTCGACACTCGGCCAATGCACAGACCTCCCCAAAGGCTGAGCATGAGGTACCTCGCTGGTGTCTTGGGTCTCAGCTTTAATCCAGTGCATGGCAAGTTGAGTCCAGCAAGGCCAGCTCTCCAGGCAAGACTGGCAAGAACTTTTCTCCCTGCACAGTAAACAGTACACCATTTAGCTGATAGCCTCAGTGATTCCTTCAGAACAAATACAAAGAATAAAAGTGAATTTCCAGGAAGTAGCTCCTGATCTCATCCAGAATATTAAATTGCAAGGTATTTTGTAGATTTTCAGCTGACATCGGACAGGCCCAGCTAACAATCCAATTAATCTCAAAACAATAACAGCCCTTAATCTAACATATATCAGCAAATTCCTGTTTTTCTCTTTTCTAACAAAAATAACAACACTGTAGTTGCCAGTGCATTAATAAGATCCTATTTCTGCTCCAGAGACTGAATCGAACCTTTGTTCTTCACAGCAAAGGATTAAGAAGGTTGCTATTTTGGTAATGAGATGTGGAGAGGTACTTACTTTGCAGCTGAGATCCAGGCTGGATGCCTGAGAAAGGAATAAACTGTGTTACCTCAGATGAACTTTATTTGTATAACCAGTATATCAAACTCTGTTAGTGTGATGCATATCATTAGCAATAAAGAGAGACTATTCATGAATAATTACAATTTGATAGAGTGTTTAAGCTCATTTACAAAATATGCCTTATGTTGTAGATAAAGTCATGAATGTAGATTTTAAGGTAACAACATGCACACACATAAGAAATTAGAAAAACTACTTACTTTCTAGGTAGCTTATTGGTCAGTTGCTTTTTTTTTTTTTCCCACAAAAGGTCTAATTTTTTTCCAGATATCTCACGTCTTTTAACGAGCACATCCTGGAGAAACACTGTCATAAAATGACACAAGAAGGGGAAAAAAAGTGTCAGAAAAAACAGAACATGGACAGGGACAAATAGGAGAACACTGAAAAGAAGATCAAATCATATGACACCAATCCAAGTACTGAGGCACCAACTCCGTGCCCAAAATGATTGAGAAAACTGTTTGTGAGGCTGGAAAAGGAAGCAGTGACCTGTGAAAATGAAACCAACTTCATGAAAACATTAGTCATATAAAAAATATGTTGTTTATAGTTATCATAACAACATTTTCATTAAACAAACATGTTTAGTATATAAAGTTGTTGCAAGTAAAACATTTCCAAAGGACTAGGGTAAGTAAGGTAGTGTGGTTAGAACCTGGCACCAATTCATAATTACATAGGGATCAACTTCTTGCACTTAGAAATGGAAATGTTTGGGGCTTACATCAGAGGAGGTCTGAATTTCAAAATGAAAAGTATTTTTGTAACAAGATCTAGGAGCATCTTCAGATATAGCAAATACAAACTGAAATGAAGGCAAACAGAATCTCAACATTTCACTTGCATCCTGCTTTCTGGGCTGTTGACATGAGGAAGGACTTTGAAAACATGACAAAAAATTAAACTATTTACTAACTCTCGTTTCCACTCTATCAGGCCAGTGTATTTCAAACACATTTATCAAAAACCCACCATGATGCAATACAATACCAGAAAAAACCAGAATGTCAGAAATTGCTCCACTGGTCATTGCTGATATACTCTGGCAATGACAATTTGCATTTGATGAAACTTCCTTATCTCTCCTTCTCTAATTAATAGTAATAATAGAATACCAAAAATCCACAGAAGTTCAGATATTTCTAACATCATAGGTGCCAGATTTCCTAAGGAAACAAATCTTATTCAGTCAAGCTTTGTCTGCATGAGTGGTCTCATTACCCCTTCAATAATCTTTTGGACATGATCACCAATTCCAACTATATCTGATCAAAGCAGACACCTCAGAAACAATTAAGTTCTTAACAATATGCAGGAAAATCATTGGATGGGTGAGCAGAATGGTGTTAATAAGGGTTTCCACCAGTGCCATAGGATACAGCACTTTATTCATTTCAACCTCAGAGCAACAGTTTTTCAAAATCAACATCAATACAAAACAAATTGGGTTCACAAGTTTACATTTACAGGTAACACTTTAATCAAACATGGAAGGAATTGGACTCAGTGTAGATGTGACAGAGGGATATTTTTTGGCCTGTAATATGCAGGCAGTCAAAATGTACAAATAAACAGTCCTCACTCTTTGAGTCTACAGAACATTATTATTTCCCTTTTAAATCCTCCAGCAGGTTAATTAAACAAAATATTTATTTACAGCAGAAAAGAGGATGAAGTATCAGTGTGAAGTTATGACAGCAGGATCTACCTGTTAAAGTTTTCCACTTTTACTCTGTCCAGAAATACCAGTATTGAGCATAATTGCAGATTATAAAATAACTCCCTCTTTGAATACTTGAAGAATTTCCAGCATGGTATCATGGAAATGATAGTTACTTTGTAACTCAAGTATTAACTTTCAATAAAAAGTGTTAAGGGCCTGGACACTGAAGGTTGATCCACACTGGTGCAACTCTAGTAGGTCCCAAAGACAGCTGTTCTTACAGAAAAGAAAAATGATCCCATCCATGCAAGTCTGGACACTCAGATTTAATACACAGATTTTGCACAGACATCCCTAATGTTTAGATATTCAGCCACCTAAGGAAAATTCTTTGGACTTATCCCTCAGAGGAAGAGGCCTTGTGGTTGAACAAGATGATTGAACATGAAATTCTGGAAGTGGCAGTTTCATTAGGGGGAAAAAGCATATTTAAAAATTAAATTTGGCTGCCATATGGTGTGGGGAACTCAAATGGAAAAAAGTGTCTTCCATGCTTCAGCTGAGTTCTCTGATAGCTGACTGTGCCTGCCCCACGCAGCCTGTGGGGTTGAATGGACACCCCAGGAGGAGGCAGATACACAGCTGGGTGACAGCTTTAACAGCTGGCTTCCATTTCCAAATGCACAGTCTGAGCTCTGAGTGGATGAAGGGATACACAAATGCACGGGTACACGCACAGACATTTTTCTTTTACAATGCATAGATCATCATAAAATCACCTAAAATGCTCTCTCACTCTGTGCACACTATGTCTGCAGACTCAGTCATTTCTATGACAATAGCCTTCTTTGTTCAAATTTTATATTATCTCAGCTTTCAAGGCTTCATAGAAGTGTAAAAAAATAAACCCTCTGCATCTAAATGAAATAGTTTAAGGATCAGCAGTCTCTCTGCAGCAGAGTTAGCAGATCCCTCAAGTCTCTCTTTCCCAAGACAACGCCAAAATCAAAATTAAAAATTGCACCTGGTGCATCATTCTAGGTAACAGGGAGAGGCCCAGGGTCCCAGACATAAATTACAAGTTATACCAATTTCAGAGTAGAGAAAATGCAAATTATATGCAAGATATATTTATATGTATAAATAGAATAACCATAGCCTTTCTCTGGCTTAGTGACCTTTTACAGAAACTGCAAAGGCAATGCATCAGTGCATCAGGGACCCAGAGGGAGAGGGACAGACCTGACACTGGGTACCCTGCACTTGTAGCAGTTTGGAAACACTGGCAGGAGGCAGCCTAGGTCCATCTTCACTTGAATCCGCAGGTGTTTAGAGTGCCCAGACTTGCTGAAAATGAAGCCATGGTTGTCTCCACTTGGGCAACCACACTTAGAAGCACTTTTTGAAAACGTAGCCTGCAGGGAAATGAGGGTTAGCATGAAGCTGTCCTCGCTCCCAGGCCTCACACGGAGGCAGCTCTTTGACTGTAGGACTCTTTTCCCTCGCACACCCGAGCCCTTTGCAGTGAGGTGGGGCCAGAGGGAGGCATTTTCAGCCTTCAGAGGACCTTTATACTGTATTAAAAATATGGGTTCTTTAATGTTTCCTTTCTCAAAAGTAGTAATATAAACTAACTGAGTGTGCTCTTAGGAGAGCTTTTGGCAAGGGTATGGGACAATCTTGTGCCAAACCTCATCTTTGGCATGAAGAAATAAACAGACTGTGGTTCTGCATAAAGACAAAACTTTTGGAAAGCCTTTAGAATATTTCTCATAATGAAACAGTGGGGGGGTAGTTTTCTTGAAATTCTGAATACTCTCCAGAATACAAATCCAACCTTTAAATGTTTTGGTCTCTTCAATTATGAACTCAGTTTCTTCACTAAAAAAAATTGAAACAATTAAATTATGAATGATGGATGCGCCCTGATTTTGAACAATCCTCATTAAGGCTATTTCCATACTGTTTCATCTGTCTATAGTAAATAGAAATATTATGTCAGATAAGAATTATTCTCATTACTCTATATTACAGAAACTGAGATTGAAAAATCATGTGTTCTGTCTGTCTAAAGCCACAAATGACCTACTACCCAGAATAGCAGTGCCAGATTATTTTGCTCCAGACTCTGGCTCTTGAACCCCATGCTTCTTGATGGATGATGCTCCCATTCTGCTCCCATTCACAGTACCTGAGCAAGAATATTGTAAAAAAACTTAAAAAAGGGAAAGAAAGGTCTGGTCTTGGATTTTATTTCTGGTTGCTCCCAATGATGTTCCACAATAAAATGAATGACAATGCAGATTGTATAGGAGATCCAGAAGAAAAGCCATCACAAAGTTTCAGAAATATCTTAGTTAAACTGTCCTGACAATGACATTTCTCATTATATCACACACAGCTCCTGTGCTATGGAGTAGATCAACCTCCCATATTTAGCAAATGAGGTTTATCACACACAGATCTGAAACACACTTAGATAAAGATTGAGTATCCAAAAGATTACCATGGTTTGCCAATACACACACAATCCTTTTGGACTACCCAACATATCATGACTGTTATTAAAAGAAACTGAATACCTTAAGAACAAGTTTAAGAAAATTTTAATAGTGTTCCTTTTTGATTTTGGGTGGAAAGGGATGCTGTTCTCTTCCTTTTGAGGATTATTTTTTCTAAGTACATTTCTAAATCCTACTTAGTTCTGTTTAACTCCAGCCTTGTAAACCCTTTGTGTGTTTCTTTTGCTCTCAAGCCTCTTTAAGCACTTTTGCATCTCCTATTCCTACAAGGATTTTGCTGTATTGTTCCTTTTTGTTCCCTCAGAAATCAAGTCTCTTTATCTACAATTTGAAGAACTTCTCCCATACACATCTAAGTCCACTGCTGTAGGCAACAGAAAAGTTTCAGAATTAATAACCCATGAAAAATGAATGAGGCAATTCTCAACTCATAAAGCTTTAAAGTTCTCTGCTTACTCCAGCAGATATGTCTGTACTGGATTCATTCATTCCAGATCACCAACTTTTCTCTGAAGTAATGGCAATAACACAAAAAATGTTTAAATACAGATGCCAAAGTTCTGATGTCAGCATGGGACTGTTCAAACTGGAGCCAGGACCCTGCTGGAGGTCACTCCAGACCTTGACAGCAGTCTACCACTTCCAGAAAATGGACATACCTCAGCTCCACAGCCCTTCATTACAGCTACATAGTTGACATTTTTTCAAGCATATCACTGCAAGAAGCAGTGGTTAAGCCCAAAGCTTCAAGAATTTCACTAAAAAATGTACCAGTATCTGGTTATGCAAAGGCCTTTAGTTAAAGAATACATAAACTCCAAATACCACTGAGGCTTGCGGGTTGAATTTTTGGGGGTTTTGAGTTTAGGAATTTAAGTTGCATCTTACTGTGAGAAAAGAGAAAACAAAAAACAACTGAGAAATGGTACTAGCCCACTAAAAACTCAGAGTCATAAGCTGTGATGCCACAATAATAAAGAAATGTTCATGTAGGACAGAAAGATAGGTTGTGACCTCATTTCCACTAATTACCATAACGCTGTTTGCTGCATTTTTATAAATGCTTTCCTATCTTCACACTTAGTACACTTTGTTGCAGAG